CATCCTATTTAATTCATATGCTTTGGCTTTATCTTCATCCCGGTCTGCATTCTTCCTGTAGGCCATCCCTAGGCCCCAGACAGCCAAAATGCTGTATATATTATCTCGCACCCAAGCATCTTTTTGCTCTGTGCTGGCAGAAAGTAGTCCTGTAATTGGATTCTAAATTTAAAAAAAATGAATGGAAGCAAAATAAGAAGCAATTTATTAAATAGGATGTAGAGAATTACTGTTCCATAGTGGTTGAGAAGTAAAGCTGAGAATTAGGAAGAGTTTTTCCCCAAATCTAATCTCTATAATGAAAGCAGATGGCCATGGTGGGCACGCTACTATTTACCGTATTTTTCGGAGTATAAGACGCACTGGAGTATAAAACGCACCAAGATTTTGAAGAGGTAAATTTAAAAAAAAAAAAACAGTTTTTGCCCTCCCCGGCTCCTAGGAACACTCTGCAGGCCTCCCAAACCTTTTTTTGGGGTGGTGGTGAAAAATGGGACATGCAGAGAGTTAGGGAGGCCTACAAAGTGCCTCTGGGGGCTGAGGAAAGCAAAAATGTGATGATGCGTGGGGGCTTTTATTGATCTCAAATCCGCTTTTCTCTATCCCTCCCATGGCAGGACAGGACTAAACATCTCTGACCACACTTTATTTTTTCCCTTGGGCCGGCAGCGACATAAGTCAACTTGCTTCTTCTCTTCAATGAGGAGCCAAAGACACGCGGGGCTGCTGAACGGCTGCCGCCGTTCTCAACCAGGCGGGAATGGGTGGGGATCCCTTCCATTTGTTTTAAAGGTTCTTCGCAGTGGTGCCTGAGTGGTGAAAGGAAAGCCCAAAGAAAATGGCCCAGCAAGGTAGCTGGGCCCAATAGCAGGAATAGCAATAAGCACTGCATGACAGATCCAGGAGGATTGGGGTGGTGGGGTGGAGGAAGGAAAGAAGACCGAACTTTTCTGCACGAAGGCTTTTCTTAGGGCAGTAGATTGGGAAGTTAAAAACCTGGAATGGGATACAATCAAGCTTGATTCAAAGGCTTTGGCTCCTGAGATTGCTGCACTACCCCCCAAAATCTCGTTGTTGTGATCTTTGCCACCTGGAATCGTCCGAGAAGGGACAGGTGAAGCGGGCACTGTGTGAGAGGTGTAAAGTAAGGTGGTTGCTGCTTGGCCTCCCCCTTCTCCAGACAACCCAGTCAGAGGGTGGTCGGCTTCTGCTCCTCCCCCGGGAGACAGATCTGGCCAGGAGGAACGCATGCCCTGTTATTGCAATCAGGGAGGAAAAAGAGCATTTCAGGCAGTGGGCGGTTCCAGGCTGCAGGGATTGCCTGCTGCCTGAAATGCTCTTTTTCCTCCCCAATTGCAAAAAAGGGGCGTGTGTTCCTCTTGGCCAGATCCGTCTCCCGGGCAAGAGCAGGAGCCGACCGCCCTCCAACTGGGTTGTTTGGAGAAGCGGGAGTCAGAGCAGCGAGCCATCTTGTCTTACGCCTACTGTGCAATGCCCGCTTCACCTGCCCCTTCTCCAGATGACGCAGGCAGCTATATTCGGAGTACAAGACACACCCAGATTTTCACCCTCTTTTGGGGGGGAAAAAGGTGAGTCTTATACTCCAAAAAATACAGTAATTAAATAACATAAGTCTATTAGGAAACAATACCCGCTACATTATAGGGTTACATAAAAAAATTAAATGAAAAACACAACACATTGAGACAATGGCCACAAAGTTCCATTTACTTCCCTTTGATGAACAGGAAGCTTTTACATAGAATTAAGACATTCTAAGTTGCCATTTGGTAAGCCTTACCAGGTTGATGAGGCTTACCAAATGGCAATTCAGGAAAATATTCAGAGATGTAACTGTCTTGAAAGTAGCACAGCTCTATAGATGCCACATTGGAATACAGTAGTTCAATTGGAAAGTGATCAAAGCATGATTGATATGCTACATATGGCACTACAGGCACATGAGATGAATTTGGGCAAAAGACATGTTGATCACAGCAGTTCAAGCAGGAGCTATGAGTCAAAGAAGGTCCTCAAATTGACTACTAGTCCTGAAGACGGAGTGCAATCCCATTCAGGAAGAAAGAAGGAACTACTTCAAACTTAGAGAGTTGAAATATTCATAGCTGCTCAATCCTGTCAGAGTTGACCCTGTTTGTTCTTTCTCACCCAGATTAGATATTGAGGCAAGATCTTTCCAGCATCACCTAGCTGATCATTGGCCAAGACATATAGCTGGGTATCATCAACATAGTGATGATATGGGACCACAATAATGTATGACATCACCTTATGAAGATGCTAAACTGAGGAGCAAGTGCACTGAGCATTGAGGCACCCAAAACAGGAGAAGCCTCTACCTCCCCTGCCTCATTAACCCCAAATGGGTCTGAATACAGAGAAAATAAATAAACCTTTAGTACATCCTGCTTCCCACTCCTAATCCCACTCCAGAAGGATAGATACTATGATCAATGGTATCAAAAGCCACCAAGAGATCAAAAACAGGACAGTTTCACTATCCCTGCCTGAACTCTGCTAAAGGTAATCAACAAATACAATCAATGCCATCTCAATAGTCTCCTCCAGATGAGAAGGTGGCAAACAAATCAAATATATATCAATATAAATAAAATAAATACAAACCTAATAAATAAAATAAATACAAATCTAATAAAATACAAATCTAATAAATAAATACAAATCTAATGAATAAAATAAAATCTAATAAATAAAATAAATAGAAATCTAATAAATAAAATAAATAGAAATCTAATAAATAAATAGAAATCTAATAAATAAATAGAAATCTAATAAATAAATAGAAATCTAATAAATAAATAGAAATCTAATAAATAAATA